TCCTCAACAGAACAGGAGGAGAAAATATGATGAGAAAGTTCGTCGAGATAAAGTAAAGAAGGTTGCTTACCAGTTACTGTCACGGGTAAGACAGACTTGACCTGGGGAAAATTAATCTATTGCTCTTTCTCAGAAGCCACCCCTACAGCCTCCCCGCTGCCAGTGCCTTGCCATGTAAACCCAAAACAGCTGTTTTAAATTATTGCATCTCAAGAATAACTTCATTCCAAAACTTGTTCTATGGCTGAAACAATTCAGAGGAGGAATTATTTGAACTTAATCGTCTTCTTCATATTCAAGAAATTGGAAGGCTGTTAATTCAGTTAACCAGCTGCTCCAGGGACAGTTCTGGGGCTAAGCCACAGGAGCAGATCACTGCAAAAGGGACATGGTGCAGAGGCAGACAGTCAGACCCAAGATGCAGGGATCAGGAAGCTCTAGAGGTTATTTGCTGCTAGAAAGACAGATCTGTTGTCTGCATACACAGGGAGTTAAGTTTCAAAGAAGCCTCAAAACGTAAGTCTTCAACGTTCACAGCAAAACCACATCACATTCTGCATCTTTGGCTGTGGCACAAATTCTTCCTGTGCGATGGACTTGGACCTTGAAAGCAAGTACTCCCCCAGTACCAGAGCATCAAGCCAGAGCCTATCTTACTGTCGTTAATCACCTTGCGAAGAGCACGCTGCTGCGTGGGACAGGACCAACCTTAATCTGACCTAGTGATGAAAGGATTTTTGCTTCAGAACTAAGTATTTATGTTCTTATAGCTAGACCCTAGTAAAAAGTGGGTTCAGTTGCTGCTGTACCTTGCTGGAGCCTGCTGTCTCACTGCCATGCCAAAGGGCAGTTTGGGATTTCAGTCGGTTGGCAAGGTGATCTCCTCTTCACTCCACTGCACCATTTTCTCTGGTGGTTTTTCTGCGCCTTCACTCTGTCAAGTAGCCATTCCAGATTAATGACTAATCCTAATAAGAAAACAAAAACAAAACAACACGAACCAAAACAAACTTTGAAATCGCGTTAGTTATTTCTAAGATGTTTGCCAGTGATATAATCAGAGAGTTTACGGAAAAACAGAGATATCTGCAGAACTCAAATTTGTCTGCAGCAGCACAGTGCATACTTTCCTTTGTTCTCTATTCACTCAAGTGGACAGTTATCAGCATCACTTATCTTTTCAATTTAGAAACTATGTTGAGTGCAAAAAAGGTTTTTACTCCTCAGAGAACCATCTCAGCACAAAGCATGAAGTAAAAAATGGTGTACAGGAATACGACTACATGCATCACAGGTTTTCTACAGTGAGATTTTTAGCACTCTTGAAGCATTTTCCTTCCTTCCACACACAGCTGTAGAATTCTATAGAAGTCTCAGGCAATTCAGATCTCTCTTTTCATGCTTTCAGGTTATCTGTAAGAGCATGATGGGTTAGTAATTTTGTAATCTCCAAGAGTGTTACTCAGAATACGGAGCACATACTATGTTAATTTGGGCTATTTGCTTGCATAATTTGATTATATTTTAAATATGAGGATTTCCATGTGTTAAACTAATTCTGTGGAAGCCAAAATGCTATGAATCTTCTCCCATGTACACCACTAGCCTCGTAATATGAAGCTGAAGACCAGGATAACGATGTTTGGATTTACACCATTAGAAAGTATTGCCCATCCTAGGCAATAATTAATTTTCTCCACAGTAAACCCCAATCGATTGTGTTTATTATGTATTATGAGCATCCTCTTGGTTAGACTTAACTTCCATTCTTTTGGAATGAACTCTAATTCTCAGTTCATGATCAGCAGATACTGTGTCCGTTTTGGGTTTTTTCCCTACCATCAGAAATCCTAAATCAAAGTAGTTAGGTTTTCCACCTCACTTTTTCAGAAAACTGCACTGTAACTCCACTTTTTCATTTTATTCTATCTGCCAGCTTCTGAGTAGACAATACACTGAGCCTCACGAACAGTAGAAGAGAGTTTTCTGTCAGGCAGAGTGAATATCCTTTTAAGGCAGAAAACTGAGAATGAGTGAACAAAGCCCAAGATTAATGAGGATTCCTTGCAAAACAGTTTCAACCTTCCATAATGAAATGCATAGTAATGCAGCAAAAAGTTACTTGTACAACTTGCTGTTGCTATCCTTTTTACAGTTTTTGAGCAAAATCATTGAATCATTATAGATTTATTCTCTAATGCTTCTGCTATTAACATTGATTTATTTTGTTCTTACAGCTTAAAAGGTTACTTTGGGTTTTATTTATTATTCATGAGAGTTTAAGACAGACATCTGCTTCTGTAAGTTAAAAATGGCTAGGATTTAGCAAACAGTGTTGTAAAATCAAATTAATTAGAACTTTTATGGAAAACATAACCACCAGTGTTCCCAGTGCATGACTCCAATGGTAAAAGTCTTTGTGAAGATAATTTAAGAAGTCATCCCACAGTCCCGTTCAAAGGCAAGTATATACCATGTATAGCTAGTTAGTGCAGCAGGACTAAAAATCATCAGCCCAAAACCCAGCTGAGTGAAATGTGTAAGGATGCTGCCTTTCCTTTCTCATATATAAAGGACGAGCTGCCCTGCTACTGAGCAATCTTCCATATAAATAAGAAAAAAAACAAATCAAAACACAGTCCTCTCCCCTCCCAAAACAGTAGCTGTTTACCTGAAATCACTTTGATTTAACTTGAATGTGCATTTAAAGTAAAGTTGTGTTATTTTATTAACAAAAATATGCCTCTCAACTGTCAGCTCTCCGTGCAACATTCTTAGAAAGTAAGAAAAGAAGTTTTGCGCAAATCAAAGTAAGTGTGCCGCTGCCCATGTTCATTACCAGTTACCTTTGACCAGGTCAGACTTTAAGTGCAGAGACCTGAGGAACAATGTGGCACCAAAATGCATCAAAATGCTCAAAAAGGACTTGTAAAAGTCAGACTCCATTGAATACAAGTGAATTTAAGGATTAATTGCACAGGTGTGGAGTGGGTGAAACCACCTCCAAACCATACAGGTTTTTTTAACTGTCGGGCTACAAAACCATTTATAGAAATTGCATACAAGTGAAGTTACGCAAGTCATAACTGATTTCAGACAAATAATGTGCTGAAATCTGTAATTAACATCTAAGTAGAATAGGGAAGTGTTAAGTAGACACCACCTTATTTACACTGGTGAGACCCAGGCTGCTTTCTGTTGTGCATACACGGCTGTACATTGTGCATAGGCAGCACTGCACTCTGAATTTAGAGGAGGAATCAAGGAATTCACAGGGCAGTAAACTATTAAAATGGGAAGAGCAGAGCCTGAAAAAAATGCTTAGTAGCCTGATAACTCTCCCAGGCTGCCAATCATGAAATGAATTAAAATGGTAAGGTATTGATATTGGCAGAAAAAAAGAGTTAAGTGATGTAACACACCAAGGCAGGAACTTACTCACTGAAAAAGAGACTAGAGCTAGATTGAAAAAATGTTTGTAAGTGGGCAAAAAAAGTGAAAATCTTTTATTATCCAGTGCTTGAGGGTGAAAGTGCATACCTTTCATTTCCTTGACCTATTTTTTACTTCTCCTTTTAGACCTTAATGATCTTAAATCGCAGCAGCCCGACCTCCTCCAAAATATCCTTACTATAGCTTATCCTTTCCAAAAAACAATGGAGTTCACTGAAGTCATCAGCAGCTCAACTGCTCACAGCATTATTTAAAAAAATACTAGATTTCAAAATAAATAACTCACTGAACAGAAAACCAGAAGCTTTTTTCTGAAATACAACCTGTTCGTGTGCACAAGGAAGAACCTGATGGATGTGAAGAGTACTAAAGCTGTAGGTCCCGGTAGGACTCCTACCCTTACCCTCCTAAACCTGTGGGACATCACTGTCTTCAAAGCATCTACATTTGAGCTGCTTGTAACGGAGCTCCTAAGCAACCAGCTTTCAGGGGTACTTTCATTCCTGCAGTAACAGAGGTAAAAAATATCTTTGTTTTTATAAGGCTCCTTCCTCTGTGAAGGGAAAAGAGATGCTACAAACCTGAGGCTGGTTCATCAGCTCTAATACTGAACAGGTACTGAACGTTAGTCACAAAACATCAGTGTATCTATTTTCATCTACAATTTAATGCAGCCAGCTCACAGAGACTGACACCTACTTTTTAGATGTAATGCTCTTGCTAAAGCAAAGTCTTAGGCTCTTCCTCACTGGCGGCTGTACGCAATGGAAATCTGCGCTGGGACCAGTTCTCCCGGGCAGCAGGATACAACAAAGAGGACACCGAACTAAGAGGCTTGGGCATTCACCCACACTGCACGCTGGCACAATCCAAAATCTAGTAAGCTTGGTGCCAAAAAATGTATTTTAAGGTGCCCATAGAACACTTGCCCCATTATCAGAAAAGAGGTAAGAATAAAGAAAATCTGTTCAATATTGAAAGTCTGCTGTAGTTATTTAACAACATAAAAAATTAAGTCTTCATGCATTAATCAGAACAGCTTACATGACTTAAAAAAAATCTGCAGCATGGTGATGTTATCTTCTCTGCTCATCACCTCTAACTTGGATCAACTTTGCTTTTTGAACATCAATAAAATGTGCTTAATTGAAATTTGAATTTTATTAATTCAGAGCAGACAAATGTATTGCTTCAACACTGCCAAATGCTTCTGCTGTTCCCCACTGAAATATTTTCTGTGCTCTGGAAACACAGACATGCATAATCCCCTGCAGGGGAGTTTTTCTGTCTTCAGTAAAATACAATTTAAGCCGTATGTTTTACCTTAGCCAAGGTTCGATCTTATCAGCATTTATACTTACTTGGAAAAAAGAATGAAGATTTGGCTTTGCAAGCAAACTTACTTCATAGGGCAAGCAGTATACCAGCATATATGGCTCAGCATTCAAATAATAAATCATTTTTAATTACAAAACTGAAGAAACTGCTTCTTCACAATCTGAAATCACATCACTACATTTTGCTCATGAGAACAAAGTTTACAGTCATAAGTTGCACATAAAGGGTTTATTTTAAATGTTTTAAGGATAGAGTTACATCATAATTATAAAAATTACTTACAGAATTAAGTAACAGATTTAAAGTGTTTATACTTCTAAATGCAGAGAACAGGGAACTGTCTACATTGTTCAAAATAAAATAAAAATAATGAAACCAAGCTCTAAAGATGAAGTCATTACCTAATTTTAAAATGTGAACACGAAGACCTTTGAACTATACACATACCAAGAACCATCCAAATTGCACTAATGATGTAAAATACAAAAAGCACAGCATTTTCAAGGAACCAGAAACTGTTTTTACCATAATTCTTTTCCCTGAAGCAACTAGTCAATTCTATCTGAAGCAAAAGCCTCCCTTTTTAAATAATTCACTTAAAGAAGGCTTCTACTCATTGCAATAAAAAAGGGTTTTCCCCATAGTCTACTCCAACATAGATTAGGGTTTGGCACTCAAAAAGAAAGAAGAAAAATGTAGTGTTTTGTTAATCAACTGTGATTTTTAAATTTTTTTCTTTAACAGAATACGTGGTCCCTTCAAATGCTGTATGACACACACAACTGGAAAATTACCTTCCGTTGGCACTATGCTCGTCTCACCGGTGCATTTAATCCTACTAACAACCATTAAAACAGCACAATAAGCAAATTCACAAAAAACTGAACACAAAATAAAAACAGAACAAAACAAAAACCTAAACATTTTAACATGCAACTTTAGTTTGTTACATTGAACGTTCTAACCCTCTAAGCATGCAAAAAAGGATGGTCTGCATTTAAGTTTTTTTTTTTTTCCTTTTGAAAAGTTTTACATGGCAGCCTGACATCACACACACGCACACACACAATATACAACAATACTACAGCAGGTAAATGTGAAAGGCGAATAACTTTTATACAAAGATCCATGGCTTGTGCCATCACAAGCCCTATGTGATTTTGGAAGTAATGTTGAACCCCTATAACAAGGAACCAACATTTAGTTACCAGGGTAACGCAAGCACTGCATGCAGATCTGAAACATGAGCCTAAAACAAAGCCCAAAGCAGATGGGCAGGGAGTGGAATTAGTCTCAAGCCTCAAAAAGGTGGTTTAAGCTATCAAAAAAAAAAAAAAAAAAAAAAGGAAGAAGATGAAAAGAAATATCCACGCAACAGAGACAACGGGGACATCTAAAAACAACCGTAAAATTTACAGTTTATAGATTATACTCTAATTGGCAGAATACGTGGTGTATTCAAGAGGCTTGCAGAAAACCCACAAATGCAAGCCTAATGCTAAAAATGTTCCAGTAGACCTAAACCTCAGATATTTCAAAACAAACCTTGTATTCCTCAGATATATAGCCCAAAGTTCAGTGTACTATGTTATCCATGTATCTTGTGTATAATCAATACACTCACTCATTCTTGTGCCACAAATATCAACTTGGGCTCATGGAGCCAGGCTCAGCTTTGAGATTTACATGCAGGACTCTTAAGAGTCAATAGAAAACACTTTAACAGATCTGCAGGATGAAAACACTGTGTTGCAAATCTGCTCACTTTGTTCAAAACACAAGGAACATTTACGACTCAGGTACTTAGTGCTTAAGGACTGCATTGAGAAGCTATTCACTGAAAGACAATAGCCTGCCTTTGGTTGCCCATGATGAAATACTGGACATAATGCAATAGAGTAGCAATGGACAAAGAATTAAGGTACCATATTTATATGGAGAGTATTTATTACCATTCAACAGCATAATGAGGCACAAGCCTTAAGGCTAAAATATGAAATCAGGCAAAAAAATGGACAGAAAGGGGCTTAAACCACTGAGTCTTCAATATCAAGAATACCCACAACTGAGGTCATCCGGACCTCTGATCTCTGATTAACAGCACCTCTCCTGCATCCTTCCACTAATGGCATACGGTTGGATATTAGAGTATTTGTTCCTTCCATCAACAGTGTTGACGGTCTTCACATACTGTACTTCTGTGAAGCAGTTCTCTGAAACTTGCAGAGCTCTGCCTTAATGTAACATGACAAATTTGTTGCTGTGCTGATCGTTGGTTGCAATTCTGAAACTTTTTAAAAGCTGCCACACTTAAAAAAAATCCTAATCTTCATTTACAAATATCTTGCAAGATTAAAACTGTGAAAGGATTTTGCTGTTGTGGGCTGCTATTTACATCCACAATCTAATGCAGATGGCTGAACCACTGAGACTGCCTATAGCTTCCATTAGATAGTACACCACTGGCATGCAGAACTCTAGTGTTCATAGAATGAAATTCACATTAACAGCATACCTCAAAGCAAGTACAATGTACATCACAAAAGGCAACAACAGGTTTAAGCTGTAGATTTGTCCGGACACTCCTTATGTGGAAAAGCCAGAAAAAGAGTAAGTGGGGAGGATGCCTTCTTGAACCAAAATGGTTAAAAATAAAAAAAAACCATACAAACAGAGAAATGCAACAGACTGAGCAGAAGGCAACAAATGCTTCTCCTCTAAAGTAAGTCTTCCATGTAAAAGGACCCCCACCCTCCAACCCCTGGCATGAGATTGCATTTACCATGTAAAATATTAACTACTGTTAGGCTTCTAAGTCCACACACAAACATTCAGGTTGCTAGGTTCTGATATTAAATGAGAGACTACTGATTGCCAATGTGTAGTCTAAAGTCTTCCAAAGTAGCATATATACTGTTAAAGTTGTGGCACCAAGCACTTGGGTTTTGCTAAGAAGTGTGGATAACAAACAAAGAAGTACATTTAGGATTGAAGGCAGCCTTGTTGCATGAATTTTACTGGTTCCTACAACTTGTAAATATATGGGCCATTACCCTGCATTTTCTAATTAACTGGTTATACAGACTAAATATCTTTTTATAGTTTAAAGCCTTTTCACTGAAAGGTGCATAAGTCAAACACTTGATTTCCTACTGCCCTGTGACTACTAAAAATACATAAGTATTTCCATGTACAGCAAGTTCTTAAGCTAAATTTGAAATAAAGTGTAGAAACACAGCAGATTGATGTTACTTGGGTTAGGCACTCCTCAATGCTGCACAAACTGTTTAAACCTTTCAAAAAATTCACCTCTGTCCCAACCCTGAAAACAAGGACTGCCAGTAGCCAAGAAATTAGATTTAATGTTACAAAAGAAGGCATATCAAAATATCAAACTACACTTGCATGTGGCAGTTGAACAGGTGAGTGCAAGGTTGAAGAAAAAGTTAAAATCTATGAAAAAATTTAGATTAATGATTACAATACTAGATCAACTTTACACAGCTTGAATTTGCAGCTGTTCTTTGCTTTTAACTCCCTCCTGCCCAAATATATTGACTTCCTTCATGAAAAGGAGTTCTCTTACACAAAATGTGTCATGTTTGTTTATATTCAGAACAAAACAGTTTTGCTGGCAGAGATTGTGGGTTCGCAGGGACATTTAAGCTTTCATTAAACTGGAAAGCAGTCAAGTCTTTGTGTCTACAAATTTTACATGTAATAGTTCCACAAATTTGGCAAAAGTTCACGATGACGTCTAGGATGTCTTCACCAAATCGTAGACATAAATATGGAAATCATCATCAAACTTGATGAAATACACAGATGGTTTGGCTTCAACTTGATGAATGACCATGCCAGTCCTTTTTGAGCCATCTTCTTTGGCATATTCCACTTGTTTGCCTACCAGGCTGTCCACAACTTCACCTGGTTCCCGTTCTGCAGGAGGTGAATCATCTGTAACACAAAAAGCCGTGTACTTTGGTAGACATGATTGGAATTCATCAGTATGGAAGACAACTGCAGAGTCTTCTTTAAAACTCATACAAAACAATCAGAAGTTTTAAAGACAGGCTATGTAGAAAATTAGTTTTGTTCAGACAAGCACCTAACAATTGCCATGCTTCCAGAAAGTACAGTTGCAGAAAAATTTTCAAGTAATACTGTCTTCAGTTTTATTAAGACAAAAATAGCACTTTGATTGGTAAGAGAAGTAAATCTTGTGACATGAAGGTTTACACACAAGTTAGAGAAAATGTCTGTGAATAATTGAATTTAAACCACCAGCAGAAAAAAGCACTGGGTATCCTTAGCAGAAACGCAGCCAAACTAAACCTCCCTCTTACCACACACATTATTCAGTGCATGCATGCCACTGCAACAAAAACATCTCTTCTAAGATGACAGGACGTGTAAACTCCCTATTAAAAGGGGCTTTGGACACCACATTGAAAAAATGCTGTTGGTAAAGTCTAATCGTATTATTTGCTTATTTAGCAAAACCTAGCCAGAAATACCCTTGTATTTTACATGATGCCTACGCTAAATTTGGATACAAAAAGGTGTGATTTGTAACATGCCAGTTGCCAAGGGGTTGGTTACAAGCCAATCACAGAACAAATGTGATAAAAGGTAAAAGCAGGATACTGGAGAACTGGAAGCTAACCACACCTTCTTTCTCAGCTCGTCTTCTTTTTGACTAGTGTAGATAAACTTGTGTTTTGTATTCCAGTGAGGAATTTTCTCAGCAATGGTCACACCTGATGTGACTTTTATTCTGGAAATCCTAAGCCTTTAAATTAATGTCTTTGAACAAAGTTTGCATTAAGAATCCCTTACAGATTTCACCCATCTTCTTTTCAGTTCTGAGAGTTGTGAAAGAACTCCCAACGGAACAAACAAACAAACAAAAAAACCCAACCCCAAACCCCAATAAACCACAGGAAATTAATAGATTGGCTTGTACTTACACTTAAGATTCTTCCACAAACTTAAGTTTCTCTTTCAATTTTTGTTTCAGTTCCTCTATAAATGCACTGTCATACATAGGTATTATCCTCTTAATAACACTTTTATGTAAAGAGTCTTCCTTGGCAAAGATGCAAGTTAAACTCTTACATTTTCATTTAGAATGAATTATGAAGCGTTGACGAAGTTTTAGTATCAGATCCAGCAATACATTTTCCCCTCACCAAAAAAAGCGCAAAAGAAATTATCTAAATTTGGTCTTCTCACATATGCAAAGCCTGTGTTTAAGAAGAAAGAGTTCCCTAGAAATTTTAGTTATAACTCTATGGCAAGTTCCACCAAATTTACAGACATACTTCCAGGTATTCTAAGATCTGATTTGAAAAATACTACTCTTAACATCTAATCCTTGACTTAAGGACCACATATGCAAAGCCTGTGTTTAAGAAGAAAGAGTTCCCTAGAAATTTTAGTTATAATTCTATGGCAAGTTCCACCAAATTTACAGACATACTTCCAGGTATTCTAAGATCTGATTTGAAAAATACTACTCTTAACATCTAATCCTTGACTTAAGGACACAATTCAAAAGATCTGGAAAGCATTCAAATTCAGGGAGGTAGCAAATACTTAGAAGTATTTTGGAAACAGGTAAGTAGTAGATAGTCTCCTGGTGAGCACGGATGAAAAATTGCATTAAAACCATTAATTCTTGAATGGAAAGCATATCAGCT